ATCTGTTTAAAATATATACTGAGCTAAAGGATAGAGTGACCTAAAAAGACCTAAGGGTTAGTCCTAAGTTTACTCGGCAAGACGTCGCATCTTGTGCCTACATATCCTGACGGGAATGGAATCAGAGTAATTGTAGTTCCCCTCGAAAGGGAGGTTAGAAACTTCTTGACTGTGGTCAAGGTTTTAAGAGGAGTAAGCGTTTCTTAAGGACACGCTTACGTGGAGTCTTAAAACTCTTATTTCTATGTTGAATTTGTTAATTGAAATTAGGGTTAAATTAGGGATTCCACGGCGAGAAACCCTAAAACAAAGTACGGCGACTCTTTCACCTAAAACTAGAGTAAAAGGCATTTTTGTCCATGGCGGGACGCCTAGGCTATTAGGGTTTGAAATGGTCAAAAATTAGGGTTATTGACTCGGCGGTCAAACTGCTAGACCTAATTCCTTCGGAGGAGAAAATAACGGTAAAACATGCAAACATGGCAAAATATTATATGGCAGAAATTAAAATGCGGAAAGTAAAGAAAGCGTCGCGACGATCACTCGCGTAAATTACAAATCCAAAAAAAAAGAAAGATAAAATAAAACCGCGACCATGGCCTCGCGTAAATTACATCCATGGAACAAAATAAATTGAAATAAATATGAATCAGAATCTATGTATAATCTGAGGAGAGAAACAGAGAACGTTAGTGAAAAGTTAGACGAAAATATGGCAAACATATTTTATATTAAAAGAAACACGAAAATGCAATTTGGAATTTTTATTGTTGTTTTGTTAATTTTTATATTTTGTTTTTATTAAAATTTTAGTCTTAATTTTAAAAGGTTTTAATTTTTAAATAAACAAAACTTTAGTTTTAACTTTTTATCTTTAGAAAGTTTTAATCTTAATTTAAAAAGAAAAATTTTAATTTTAATTTTTAAAAGAGAAAGTCTTAAATAAAAAAACTCTAATAAGTTCTTTTTTTTTTTAAAAAGAAAAAGTTTTTATTTTAAAAAAAGGTTCGTTAGTCTTACTTTAAAAGAATGTTAGTTTTAAAATTTTAAAGAAAGTTCTAGAAAAAAAGTTTTAACCCTTTCTAACATGTTTTAATTTTTAATCTTTAAAACTTTAAAAAAATGTTAATTTTAGTACTTAAAAAAAAGAAGGTTTTAATTTTAAGAGTGAGTTAATTTTAAGTTATTAAAAATGTTTTCACTTAACTATAAAAGTGTTTTAAACACTGTTTATTTATTAAAAAAAAATTGCTAGTGGTTAGTGCTTTAATTAAGAAAAAGTTTTAAGTTTTTACTTACTGTAATTATAATCAAAAACTGGTTTTAGTTATAATTCACAAAAAGGTTTTTTTAGTTAGAAAAAAAAGTTTGAAAAATGAAATGGGAGTTTAATTATTTGGAAGAGGTTTTAATTGGAATAACATAAAAGCTTACATTTCAGTTGCCGGTTGGTGATACTTTCGCTTGTTCTTCGCCAGGGGCAACGGTTCTCGACGAACTTCTTTGGATCTCTTTTCCTCTTTCTCAAATGGAGGTGATGATGATGAGGTTCGAAGCTCTTCTGAACCTCCGGATCTTGACGGCCACCGTTTTTCTTTTTGTCCCCCTTTCTCTCTTCTCAAACATAACTTATGTTTATATATGTATCAAATTAGGGTTAACTCTAACCTAATGCCCACTTTAAAGCCCAACTTAAATAATTAGTTAAAAACAATTTAAAATAAACTTAAAATTCTATTTATTTATACTAAACATTAAAAATATTATAAAAAGAATAAAATCTTTTCTAATATTTTTAATTTTATGATTTTTGGATGTTTTTATGAATAATACGGAAAATAACTCTAACCTAATGGCCACTTTAAAGCCCAACTTAAATAATTAGTTAAAAACAATTTAAAATAAAAGAAAAACAAAAAGTGAAGAAGGTAGGATTTGAACTCTTAACCTCTCACACTCATAACTCACTACACACAGTCTCTTACCAATTGTGTTATTTTATTCATTCAAAATAAAGTGGCACTAGAAACCATAAAGGTAGGGCAAAATTTGGGGTATTACAAAACCGTAATAACCTAACTACCCCTAACAACTAATACAATGATAATCATCACAAACATTAAATTCAAAATCTTTTTCCACTTCATGATATTCTTCATTTCAATTTCAAGTTTCATCAGCTTTTTTCCTAATTCTTCATTTTTCATTGTCGCTTTTTCAATATCTTTTTTGCTTCAGCAAGTCACTTAGTTACCACACCCAGCCTATGCATCCAAAATTGCTCATTCTCATCACCCATCTCCTCATAAAACCAATCAAAGAAGCCACAAATAGCTTGCATACCTCCCTGTAAGATTCATTGTTTAGAGGATGATGGATAATAAACAGAAACATCAAAAAACAGAAACATAAATATAATTTACACAAAAACATAACTTCAACAGAGAACAAAATCAGCTTGCATACCTTATAATTTGAACAACCCCAAAAAAGTTTTTCCATATTCTTAACTGTAGTTGCCCTTTGAAGAACAACCATGTCTCCACAATAGCACATGGGCTTCCATCGTGACCGATTACAAACATCCGAATCCCGACTTTTCGTTTTTGAAATGGAAGAGGAACATCCGGATTTCATGCTTGCCCTAGATTAATTTACTGATTCGTGATTGGGATTGGGATTTGGAATTTGGGATTTGAGATTATTTTAGGGATTTCAACAGAAGGAGGATGGAGAAGGAAGACACATCATGAACAAGATTGTCACCTCATCTGTCAGATATACAAAACAAACGGACGTTTGGGGAAACTGACGGTGAGGACTAAAATGACACTATTTTAAAAGTTAAAGGACCAACTTGGCACTTTTTAAAGATAAGGGTCCAAAATGGACCCGAGCTAAAGTTAACGGGACCAAAAAAGTTATTTTGCCAATCAAAATATAGAGTATTGAATTTGTCTTTAAGCTAACTTAGAGTAGATTCATGTAGGAATCACTCTATAAAAAACTAGAAAAATGATATTACAATTTCTAATTTGCAACGCAATGAGAAATCCAACAACTGGATAAACTATATACAATATTTACAACGGAAAAATAAATCGAAATTTAAGATATTGAATTTAGCTCTAAACTAACTTAAAGTAGATTCATGGAAGAATCACTCTATAAGTAACCAGTCTACATAATCGATGAGTCCAAACAATTTTCAAAAACTAAATTAAATTTAAACTCCGAAATCACAAAGGAATGAAAACAAAATCAAAACAGCAGCAACTCAGTGCAATATTGTATATTTACAACATTACAGTACCTAGAAAATCAAGCACAATATTCACAAACTCGATCGAAATGAAAAGCGGATGAAATCAAAATGCACAAACCAAAATAACGTCGAATTAACAACAACAACACAAACGAAAACGCAATCAGAAGCCAAAATAGCAATCGACAGAGATGTTGTGTTGTGTTTGAAATTGTAGGATCCTGATGTTGAGAGTTGTCATTGTAAGAAATGGTTCATAATACTAACAATAATATTCTATTTAGGAACACAATCCTTTAACCAAAATGATTTCTTAATAATTCTTATGAGCCTTCTATAACACACACTAGGCCAAATTTGGGTTATGCTTCATTATGTGAGTCAATTCATACATGAATCATGGACATGACATTTCCAAGTTGTTAACTTGGTTCTGCAATATCTCAAAGTCGCTAGAAAAAAGCTTAACTTCCATTTAATATACTTTCTTGTGTGAAAATCTTATTATTTGAACAAGTAAGAATTCAAGTACAGTGGTTCGATCAAACACTAAAGTAATATTTATAGCTATAAGTTTGTGAATTGTTCTAGATAACAGAAGTGATAGAAGATTTGAAGATGCACTATAAACATCCTATGGAGCTGTTAGGCGACAACAAATTGATCAACACTATTGCATATAATTTTGTTCAATATAAGTTAAGACTGACCGATATTTTAATAAAGATCGATAAGCCTACATTCCTTTTGGATATGCAAGCAGATGTGTTAATAAATGAATTATCAACTAAACAATTCAATCAACTTACTTATAAACTTGAAATAGTTGATAATTATACACCAACGTAAAGGAAGTGTTGTAAATAATATACCATAAATACTTTGTTTTAATTTATCTTTAGTTTATTTTATTTTATTGTATAAGTCTATTGAGCAAAGTCCGGACTATAATTTTCTCTACTTAGATAAATTATCTACTGTATTATAACTAAGTTTAAAATATATCGTAAAACTTTTTTCTACAACTTTCTTTAATGGAATAATTCAATCATACACAATGCAGCATTTAGAAATTATCTTTTATTTGAAAAAACAGTATGGTTAAGATGGTTCGGTTCGATTCAATACATAATATAACAATTTAGTTCAATTGATTCTACGCAAAGACAGATTAAATTAAAATCGGTTTGGTGTATAGAAATTCACCAACAGTCAGATTGGTTCAGCTGAATAGTCATTCTTTTTCACTATGACACTCAGCAACATGAGCATTCTGCCAACCATAGTATACACAAGATTTCAGCCCTGCAAGAACAGCTGAAGCAGTAATGACACCGAAAACTCACATTACCAATCGAGCAACAAACAGCTAGTATGTAATTAGTATCTGAGTTTTAACTCAGTCACTGTAATGACACCGAAAACTATGTTCAACAGGTTTTCTTTGGTAGTATTACAAACATTTTCATCGTCTCAAACATTCTAATCATCTATTAATATGGAAAACCTGCAAACTACTTACACAACAATACATGAAAAGTAAACAGCACCTAAGAGAAACTCCGTAAAAGAGCTCATAACCTCATACTGCAATCACAAATCAGTGCAACAACTTCAGCAATTTTTGATGCATTACACTAAACGCATCACTGTGCTATACAGTAGGTCGGGGCAGCTGGGTAGAATATAGTATTGTACTTTGTTGTTGCGGTGGCTGTGGGTTTTGATTTGGCAGTCAAGGTTGCTGGGTAGAATATAGTGTTGTACTTTGTTGTTGCGGTGGCTGTGGGTTTGGATTTGGCGGTTGAGGCTGCAGGGTAGAATATAGTGCTGCTTGATCAACTGGATTTCCCATGGTCACCCCGGTAGAACCTACAGGATGCTGTGGTGGGACATAATAAGATGGAAGATCAGCTGCAGGATCCATCATTGGAATATTAGACTGTGCAAATCCAAGCTCCTCTTCTATTGGAATAGTAAAGTCTGGAAATTCAAACTCCTCTTCTATTGGAATAGTAAAGTCTGGAAATTCAAACTCCTCTTCCATTGGAATAGTAAACTGTGAAAATTCAAGCTCCTCTTGTGTTAGAGGAGTAGACTGTGTAAATCCATGCCCCTCTTCTATTGGAATAGTACACTGTGCAAATCCATGCCCCTCTTCTATTGGAATAGTACACTGTGCAAATTCAAGCTTCTCTTGTGTTCGAATAGTAGATTGTGCAATTCCAAGCTCCTCTGATATTGGAATAGTAGACTGTGCAAATTCAAGCTCCTCTTGTGTTGGAATAGTGGACTGTGCAGTTCCAAGCTTCTCTTGTGTTAGAGGAGTAGACTGTGTAAATCCATGCCCCTCTTCTATTGGAATAGTACACTGTGCAAATCCATGCCCCTCTTCTATTGGAATAGTACACTGTGCAAATTCAAGCTTCTCTTGTGTTCGAATAGTAGATTGTGCAATTCCAAGCTCCTCTGATATTGGAATAGTAGACAGTGCAAATTCAAGCTCCTCTTGTGTTGGAATAGTGGACTGTGCAGTTCCAAGCCCCTCTGATATTGGAATAGTAGACTCTGCAATTCCAGGTCTTTCCTCTTCTTTCAATTCATCTTTTGGATCAATCAAGAAGTCGAAAACAAAACTACTTGCAATAGCACCTGCTACATCATTCTTTTGTATTGTACTTCTTTTGTTCACCTTATGAATCCAAGCTCGCAAAGTCAAATCTAATATAAACATTTCAGCTGCTTTTGCAAATAAGACTGGAGCTTCTGCTGAAATCATCCGAACATCTTCATCCATTCTCATTATTCTCTTTATATTTTGAAGTGGCAAACTAGGTCTTGAAAAGGAACATGTTTGGCCAATTTCTTGCATTTGGTTAGCCCAGAACACCTTAAGCTGCTTCTGTAGTTGATGGTCGAAATCTTGCTGCTTCTGTTGGTGGCCAAAATATTGCTGCTGCTGTAGTGGAATGTGGAAATCTTTCTGCTTCTGAAGTTGATGGCCGAAATCTTGCTGCTTCTGTTGGTGGCCGAAACATTGCTGCTGCTTTAGTGGATCGCGGAAACCTTTCTGCTGCTGTAGTTGATGGCCGAAATCTTGCTGCTTCTGTTGGTGGCCGAAATCTTGCTGCTGCTGTAGTGGATCGCAGAAGCCTTTCTGCTGCTGTAGTTGATGGCCGGAATCTTGCTGCTTCTGTTGGTGGCCGAAATATTGCTGCTGCTGTAGTGGATCGTGGAAACCTTTCTGCTGCTGTAGTTGATGGCCGAAATCTTGCTGCTGCTGTTGGGGACCGAAATCTTGCTGCTGCTGTTGTTGGTGGTGGAAGTGTTGTGCTTGCAGGTATGCCAATTGGTTGACGGAATTAGAGAACGCGGCTGGAGGTTGAGCTGGGGTAGGAACAGCAGCTACAAAAGGCGTGCCAGAAGCTACCGAAGGATCATTCTGGTTGTGAGAATAGGCCATTTGGCTAGCAGATGGTGCAATTCCAATCGCATGTTGTTGCTCCTTTTGAATCTCACCTGATTTGTCCATGATCAGTTACTGCTATAAGATTTTAGCATCTAACTGTCTTTTCCTTACAGGTCTGTAAAAACAAAATGCACAGAATACCTAGTGTCATATAAAATTTCAAACTTCAAGGATACTAGATCTTTACAGTTGCACGAACAAAATTCAAGCAATAGCATCTCAGGAATAGAAGTTGAAATTTTCGAAAGATTGAATGGAAACAAGTACTCATTGTGCCAAGTTCCCAGTGTTGTACATGTTACTATTAAAGACAAAAACAAAATAGTATAGATAACTCTAACACCTGATAGATCACAAATCATCATGCATGAGGGTTGAAGACATAGTTGTGATACATATTTAACTTTTCACCTCAATTCAACAAACTGAAACCGAAACTGAAAACTAAAGCAGGATCTTGAAGCCTACTCTATGGCAGAGCATCAAAATTTCAAAAACATAGCAAATTTGCATACTTCTCACCAGTATGCAAGAATTTTGTCCTTTTCTTGATGTGCAAGAAAATAAAAACTTTCATGCAAGAGCAGAATATAAACATGATAATATATATTTTTTCTGATAAGCTATAAACATGATAATTGATTCGCACTGAAATTAACACCATACAATACAACTCTAATAATTCCAGTAATTTGAAAACAACAACTAGAGATAAAAGTTAAAACAATGCTTAACTATATGATTCAAAGAGCACAAAATTTCAAGATAATGATCAAGAAGCAACGAAATTGACAAGATAATGATAAGATTGAGCAAAAGAGAATGAATATTGGAAGCATACATTTAGAAGTTATCAAACAAGAAAATTGAGGTTGAAGCTGTGATGGAAGGAAGAGCCCTAAGAGAGAATAAACGCGCTTTTTTTTTTAAGTTTTAAAAACGGGAGAGAGTGAAGTGTGAAGAGTTGATCGATTATGAAATGAGAGTGCAGTTTTATTTTCCGAGTATGTACTTAAAGCTTACACGTGGCGGTAAAGTAGTTGTACGATATAGCTGCGCAAATGAAAACTGAAAAGGGCATGTGAGCAAAAAGGCGTGAGGGGTTTTTTTGCAAATTAAATGAAAATGGTTGACATTGTATTGGCCTGGGTGTGGGCGTTTATAAAATTCTCTCACGTGACGAGAAATAATTGAAAAATTAATTTAAAATTGTAAATGATTTAAATTATTTGATTGAAATTCATTGTTTTTAGATTTTTTTTGGTTTGGATAGAATATTAAGAGAAATTATTGTTAAATTTTTGGGATAATTTTATAAATTTTAAAAATAAGAATTAATTTGAAAATTTAAAAATTTAAAAAGATTAATTTGTAAAATTTGAAAATTATTAAGAATTATTTTTTTATTTTTTGAAAACTTTGAATATTAATTTTACAATTTTAAAAAATATAGAGACCAATTTGCAATTTTTGAAATAGTAACAATAATTAACTTGACATTCAAATTATATGAAATAGGAGAGGAATTTGAAATTATTTGATTATGTTATCATTTCAAAATCATAAAATTTTACTTGAAAAAAATATTTTATACAAATTATTTTAAATTATCTTATAATATTATGTTCTCTCTTTAAAACGACTCATTCAAATACATTTTTGTTTAACATTGAAATGAATAAATTTGAAGGAAATTACTTTTTTTCAATAATATAACAAATTCGAAAAACTTCTATTTTAAATAATTATATTGAAAGCATTTTATACCTAGACCTTACTCTTATTCTATTTAACCATCTCTCCAGTCCAAAATCTAACGGTTGATATTGTCTGAAGGATTCAAATATTTTCTTTTAAAAAAATAGTACATAAGAGAGAGATATACACATTGGCCTTTTTTACTCTGTTTATGGTGAAATTCATTTTATTTAGGATGTGTTTTAACTTTTAGCAAACCACTTTACCCCTAACACTTGCACAATATTTTTGTTATCACATTTTCATGAGAGGAAGAGGCTTCACCATTAATATTGGCATACCCCAAATTTTTTCCTGCCTTTTTTCATTTCACATGACTCATGGTCCTTGGTTCATATGTGCATACTCAAGCCCTGGTCATCTAAATCATTCATTTGCACTTACATTTTTCAAGAAACATCATTGATTCAAAAAGTTTTATTATTTATGATGCAAAACACAAGATTGTGACAAGGAAAATAATGCATGAACTAGGGTTTCTATGATGCACTTGTGAATCAAACTTATAGAATCATTGTGTTATACTTGACTTTGGGGTGTTTCTTTTCTCTTGGATTAAGCCTTTGGGAAAACCCTAATATTAATCAAGACGTATTGATTATATCATAGACAGATGATTTAAAGATAATTTTCAAGTTGGCTTTGGTCAACAAAATCAACCATAGAAGGTTGACATTTTTGTTACCAAACTCTTTATAGGATGTTTTACATAAAATACCATCCCATTGGGCCAATATTTTTTATGGGTCGGACCGCCCAAGCGGGTTTCAGGTTGCCTCGTTAAAAATATTAAAAAATAATAATTTGTTTTGATAAAAAAACTTAGAAAACTGTTTTTATTAATTTTGAGAGAAAACTGGACTAAAATATGTTTTTGTTAATTTTAAGGTTGGATGTATGTACTAGATGGAATGTCACATATATGATGCTTGAAAGTGCTATTAGGTATCAACATGTATTCATTAGCTTGATTTATAATGATAAAAAATACAATATTTGTCCAAACATTGAAGAGTGGGATAAAGCAGAGAACATTTGTAATTCTTTGGCTCCATTTTATAATATTACTAACTTAATTTCTTGATCATCTTACCCAACCTCAAACATATACTTCATGCAAGTTGGACTTATAAAGATAGAGTTGAATAGAAATTTGAAAACTCAAGATAATGTGATCAAAGATATGACTAAGGGGATGGAGAAAAAGTTTGATAAGTAACACTTGGGAATGTTCTTGACATAAGATCAAAGTTGGAATTTTTGAATTGTTAGGTGATTAATTATTTGGTTATCGACTATCTATCTAATACTAAACAACTTAATGATTTTCCAAATATGTCCTTTTAGTATAAAAAAATTTACACTACCAAAGGGTTAAATCAGTAAATAACAAATGACAATTTTAATTCACTTCACTCTTGCTCTTATTCTCCCATGTGTCAGCCAAACATTGGGCTAATGTCTAAACAATGTTTCCCTCCAAAACCCATTTGCATCTGATGACATATGCTACTCCTGCTACTACTATTTTTTCATTGTTCTCACTATCTCTCTCACTTTCACATTGTGCTCACAATCTCTCTCGCTTTCCATCTTTGACTCTGAGTCACCTATTTCAAGCTCACGGTATGATTCTCAAGAACTCATTCTTTCGGATTCCATTCTCTTTCAAGGTTAGTTCAAGATCTCTTATGTTCATTCTCTTTCGGATTTCATTCTCTTTCGGATTTCATTCTCTTTCAGATTTTTGGTTTTTTATCTTTGATCTCTTATGTTTGTTCTGTTTTTTGATCTTTGAAAAATCATGTTTGCTCTGTTTTTTCAAGCTTATTCTTTATTCTTTGTTCTTTGATCTGTTTTTTCACTTGATCTCTTATGTTCTTTGTTCTGTTTTTTTAAGTGAACAATCATGTCTTCAACTTTTTTATTTGTTCTGTCATCACCTGTGTTTTCATTCAAGTGAAAAATCATGTTTTTTATTTATTCTTTGTGTGTTTGATAGCATAATCAGTTTGACACATAATAAGGTTTGTGTATTTGACATCATAATATTTTTTACAGCATAATGAGGTTTGTGTGTTTGACAGCATAATCAGTTTTACATAATAATAAGGTTTGTGTGTTTGCCATATGAGAGTATGCATATAAATGGTTGTATATTTGACATAGAAATGGAATTTTTCATAGCTTCTGTCTACTGTCATGGAAAGAGTTTTAAAAATTCAGATTTTATTTTTGTGACCTATGTTCTTGCTCTGTTATTTTTGTGAGCTTTTATTTTGAGTTGTTATTTGATGTTTGACCTGCTTGGCATTGTGATACATTGTTTAGTTTTTGTCTCAAACATGTCAAGGCCTCCAATCTTTATCAAGGATTTGGTGAAAGGTAATCAAGTTTGGAAAATGCACGTACGCGTTGTTGATCTTTGGGTTGTTAAGGAGAAAAGTGGCCAACAACATCTCGAGTTGGTCATACAAGATGGAAAGGTAATACTTGGCAACTTTTGATGCACTTATATCACTTTGTTGTTGCTATCTAATAAATGATATAACAGGGTGATCAAATTCATTTTGTGACGAGGAACCGAGATTTCAAAGAGTGGATTGAGCAACTTAAGGAACATGAAGAAGGTGAGAAAATACTTAGAAGGGGGGTTGAATAAGGATTTTGAAAATATTATGGCAATAAAAACACAAAGATTTTTATCCTGGTTCGTTGAACTCAACTAATCCAGTCCACCCTATCAAGAGTGATTTGCCTTTCTCCACAAGGACTTAATCCACTATAATCAAACTAATTACAATATCAACCACTAAGAACAACTGTCTTAGTCTTCTCAAGAACTACTGACCACAACTTGGTCTTTTTAAGGAACTTTTACAATCAAATGTAAACTAAACAAGTGTTTGAAATGCTTCTAAGAAAGCTATATCACAACTGTGATTTACACTTAAGTTTAAGAACGTATGAAACTATTCAACAAAGAATAATAATTTGTGTATGAGCTTTGAGAGAGTTTTCAATGGATTTGTCAAAATACGTCAACTAAAGAGAGTTGTTGAAGGCTTGCTTAAATAGACAAAGAAGTCCAAGGCATTGCAAGATTGAAGACCGTGTACTGCAAAGTAGCTGTAGCCTTTTGTCTTCACATCATTTGACCTTTCCTAGAAGTAGAACGTTCAGAGAAATCCTTTTTGCCTGAGTTCTTGTGTCTAGCATAAAAGAGGAAAGAGTCGTTTGGCATAACTAACGGATATAACTTTGAATAATCTTCTTCAACAAGTTTCTATTTCACAGCAATCAAC